GGCGTGCGGCTGGCACGACCCGAGTGCGACTGGCGCGAGAACGGATGTGGCCAGACACTACTCGCGCGGCTCGGGCGCGGCTAGGGCTGTCAGGGTGCTACCGGGCGACCCTGGGCACGCGGGCATGCTGCTGGGCACGTCCCGGGCTAACTGACTACTCGGGCGTGCTGCTGGGCACGTCCCGAGGCCTCTGGACCTGACTCAGGGTCACTACAGCACGGCACTGGACACTCGGATGCGCTGCTGGCACGACCCGAGGTCGACTCCGCGTGGTACGAGCGACTGGCTCGGGATCACGCGTGCATGACACTGGGACAACACTGCCGGGCGCTATCGGAGGTGCTCTGGCGCGACTGGCGCTGAGACCTCGCGGGCTGGCACGGACAGGCGCGGCTGGGCGCTGTCACGTGCACTGGGGACTGCGGTGCCTCGCGAGCGCTAGGCGCGGGCACGGACAGGGGCACTGCCTGGCCCCTGCGACGCGGCACGGGCACGGCACGCGCGACTGGCGCGGCTGGTGACCCTAGCCGGTCCTTTGCCAAACTTCCGGCAACTTTGCCGGGGACTACTGAACCAAATCAACCTAATATGACATAAAATGCTCAAAAATGCCAAAAGTCACTGAGGGACCTCGGTTGGATTTGGTGGTGGGCTTATAGGGCCGATTAGGCACGAGGCCACCCTAGGGCACAAAAATGAACATGCTCAACATGAAAATTGACCTAGGGCCGAATGATATACATCAAAAATCATGGCTAATGAGGCTAGAACATTGGTCAATACATGCATGCACATATACTTAGGTTCGGGGGTGAAAATGGCTCGATTTCACTTAACAAATTGACCGAACAAATGAACTCAAAGCATGAAACTGTTTTAACCATGTCATACTCATGATTTTTGAGGATTTTTAAGATACTAATCTCGGCCATATCATGCATGTACATAAACTTACGAATTTAGGGCTCATATGATCAAAAATTCATATCTCCTTATATCTCACATGCATGGCATCATTTTCCACATGATAATTCTTATTTTATCATGAATAAGATAGGAAAAATGGTTGGCACGAGCTAACCTTGCTCAAAAGTCGAAATGGTGCCAAAGGACTTTGCTCGGGGATCTCGCGGCCCTAGGAACTTGGTCTCGGCTAGGAGGCTTAAATGGCTGGAGGAGTACACTCTGGACACTTAGAAAAATCCAAATAACCTTTGGAAAATGCTAAGCCTCGAGAGGTATGGCTGGAAACAAAATGGACACGAGTTCTCCTCTTCCCCGGGGCACACGCGCGCGCACAAGGGCTGGGCCTTAGCTCTCGGTTTCCTCAAGGATTGCTCGAGCTTTTAAGTGGCAAATGAGTTCAAAATGTCTGAGGAATAGGTCTTAAATAGTAAAGAGGGGCGGAGCTCTCAAAGTCCAAAGATAGGGAACAAAATGGGGGACATAAGCCTTTCCCATGCACATAGGAGTTAGGGTGGCCTTGGACTGAAATGGCACGGATTCCTGGAGCATATGCAGGGCATCTTGGATTAAATAAGTGCCTTGGACAGGCCTTGGTCAGCTGGAGCACAAGGGGACAAGATTCCCATCATAAATAATTGCACATGGCCCCTCCACTCACAATTAAATAATCCCTAATGCCCATGTGACATCCTTAATCCTTTCTTAGGGAGAATTAAGCTGGATTAATCCCTAATTAACCCATTAATATTCGCATGAGGTTGGGCCCTGGAGAAGTGGGCCGAAAAACTCCACATTGGGCTCGAGAAGTGGGCTGGTGCGCTGCCAGCGCTGGGCCTGGGCGCTGCTGGGCCCTGGGCGCGAGGAGGGCGCAAGCTGGGCGCGGGGAACTGCTGTCCTGGGCTGCGCGCGAGAATTACTTGGCCCAAGTAATATCCCCATGCTAGGCTGAACTTAAGTGCTCAAAACACTTAGAAAAATCTTAGGAAAAACATGGCCAAGGCTTGGGCTCATGCGAGGACATGCGCGAGGGACTAAGGCGCGGGTACTCGGGCGCGACATTGGCTCGGGCTCGGTATACACTTGGACCGAGGCTAACCCTTGCCTATGGCTGAAAAATGGCCACACTTAGGTGCCACCAGACTTAAGAAAATCCCCTTAATACTTGGTCATGACTTGGTGCGGACTCAGCACGACTTTGGCCCGAACTCGCGAACCCTAGGCGTGAGTGATCTCGGGGCCACGCACGAACTAGGTGCGGTATACTAGACCGAGGGAATAACATCCAAGGCTTGACAAACATGATCTCATACTTAGAAAATATTCTAAGTAAGGCTATGAGCATGGCTAGGGCTCGAACAAGACTCGAGACAACTAGGGCTCGAGAATTGGCTAGGCACGAACTAGGCGCGATACTCGTGACCGAACGACTCGGTTCTGGACACAGCTTAACTTAGACGATTTATTGAACATACTCGGTTTTGATTATTCGTCAATTGAAATAATTAATTCCGACTGAATAAAATCCATTGAAAAATAAATGGACCAGAATTAATAACTGGGATTGAATAACTGGTAACTGGGCTCGAAACTCAAGACGAGCAGTATTAATAAAAAGAAATAGTTCAACTGAGAACTAAAAACTGTCATTTTATTAATATAGAACTGGGCTATTACACTTCCTACCCTTGCCAGGCCTAGAAGTAAATCCCTCACCGCGCTGGGCCACCATGGCTTGAGGCTTCTGACTAAACAGGCCCTCTGCCGACTGAAGTTCTGCCAGAAGTCCCGGAAGGGTCAACATCATCTTGTTCATGATCTAGTTCAACCGGAACTGCTCAAAACTTTTCGGCAGAGATTGGAGTACTATATCAACCTGCGTTTCCGTGTCAATAAAACCTCCAAGAACCTCCAGCTCCCTTACGGGAGTGCCCTCACGCATGGGTATAGTCATCAAAGTCCTCATGGATTTTTGTCGGGCAGCCCGAGACTGATGTCCAAACAGTTCCTTGAGATTGTTGAGCATCTTTGTTGCAGCGTTCATACTTGATGCTGATGTTGAAGTACATTTGACAAAGATGCCAAAATGTAACACTTCGCCCTCTTATCAGCTTTTTTCCACTTAGCATACTCTTCTCTTTCTTGATCTGTTGCGCCCTCTCCCGGCTTTTCCAGATTATACTCAGTAGTAGCAAATTTATACCCCTTAGCAGTTAACACAATATCCAAGTTCTTTTTCCAGTCAATATAATTACGACCAACAAGTTTGTTTTCTTTGAGAATTACGGACAACGGATTGAAAGACATTTTGAATTCCTGGGATCATGCACACATAGTTTTACTCAGTCCAGTGTTTCGAATTTAACATCAAATATTGATCTCTTCACAGCAATACTCAAATAAATTCACCGACAGCTCAAAACACCGAATCTACGCAGGCCACGGAGTGTGGACGTCTACGGTTCATACCGTCGCAAGAGGAGGGATTAATCCCATTAATTAACATACTACCCCAACAGTACTTAATTAATATTTGGTCCACCTTTTAGCCAGCGCAAAATAAGAACAACCTTTTCCTTTGGGAATATCGTAATTATTTGTACTTTAAGTGTAACCCGTTAATTGGTCCTAAGCTTACTACCAAAATTATACGCCCACTTTTGGGTGGTCCAAACGCTTTTGAAATAGCTCACTATAACCATCCCGTAGGAGATTCGTCCTTATGAAATGTGAAATAAAACGCCCTTTGGGCTCGATTTAAATCACTTCATTGACAAACCTATAGTGGAGGCCGTTGATACAATTTATTTTAATCCTTTCACACTTAATACTATAATTTAAGGGATTTTCCTAAACATGCTCCTATTAGTTTAATTTGCACATAAAGCAATTAAAGCACTTAAGGACATGCATGATTAAAGGACAATAATAAACGAGGAATGAATAATACAACTATCATGGCCATTCAATCAATCTCCAATCTTTTCAGAGAAACGCAATCTCTGTCCTTGTTGAACTGCGTCTTCCTTTTCGGAGTTGGAAATCCTCTTTCGCTAGGACTCCCACTTTTCATCTTAAATAAGTCGTCACCGAGAATTCTACCATTGGGTCGCCACCGTTGGATTTGGTCCGCGTGTTTCTCGCCTAATCTCGTCAAGGTTGGTCCACATCTGTTGGATCAATAATGAATAATATAAAACAATTACATAATTCATCTTATGACACGCGCAGGAGTCGTACATGAGTTTTCTATGAAAGCAGTAAAGTATGCGGTGTCCCACTGCGCGAATAATTTATTACAAGCATTCACCAACCCAAAAACTCATCGACATGTCCGAGGCTTATAAAACAACATATATAAATTAAAATCATACATACGGGCCATAACAGTCGGATTCGAAAATCACTTGCAAATAACTTTTTGCAATTTCTAATCTACAATGCGCTGCGTCTGTACAAAATTAATTCACATAAACAGGTAAATCCTAATTCAAGCAGTTCACAAAGTTGAACTAAGCCTTAGCTCTGATACCAGTTGATGGATTCTGTTAGGAACGACAATGATATGCACGTTTGAATTTGGAAAAATAAACCCTAACGCAGCGGAATCTATATTTTGGGTTAGGACATTACCGTTTAAAATTTTTTCCGACTCACAGACGTTTCTGATTTTCTCTGTAGGAGATCGTCTGAATAGTAGATTCCGTTGGGCAACCGGACTAGGCCTTCTTAATTGGAATCGGGTCGTTGGGTCACGAACGGTTCAACGGGTGAAGGGCTTCTCATGTTCGGGCCTGTCGGACACTGTTGGGCTAGGTCGGGTTGCGGCTGAACTCGGTTGGCCTCGGTTCGGGGTGTTGCGGATCAGTAGCGGGTCTGCTGATCGGGCTTGGTCGCGGTCGGTCGCGGACTGGTAGTGCGGCTCGCTGGTAGGGCATGTCGCGGTCAGGCGGATGGGTGTCGCGGGCGCTTGTTGGCAGCGAGGTGCCCGGGCGCGTGAGTGTACCGCACTGCGGCTTTCCTATGTCTGGGCAGACTAGCGCGTGCAGGCGTGGACGGCAAGGCAGACGAGCGCGTGGATTTCGGGCGGTGGCTACGCACGCGGACTAGGAACATGCACATGTGAATGAGCGCAGACAGGCGCGCGCGAGGAAGTCAGACGGTGGCGTATGGCTGCAGCGGTTGCTCGCGCCTGGCGGCGTGCGGCTGCGAGCGGTTGCTTGCAGCTGCATGCGGGTGGACGGGGATGGGTTCCTGCGTCGGCGCGCGGCAGCGGCAATTTTTGATGATGGTCGACGGCGACGGACGGTGGTCTGAGGTGGACGGAATCTCATGATTAAAAGGCTTGAATTATGTACCTTAAAGCCTTCTATTTTATTACCCAAACACCTACTTCAACTAATCTTCGTGGTGCGATTAATCGAATCTCCCTTACTCTCAAATATATGCAGATCACGATTGTTCTCTTTCTATTAGAACCTTAAAATCGAGCTCTTACATGTGTAGGGGAAGAGGTTGGGACATGGTGTATTTGTAGGCTACATTAGGGACCTTAAGGAGGTGCTAAATATGGGCTTATCTCGTTAGGTTTAAGAATCCTAATTATGTTCCATTTCTTTCCAACCTAGGAGTTCTATTCCTCCTAACCCTAATCACCCTTCTGGAAGACTCCAAAATCTCCTAACCTTAGGGTAATATTCTAGAAGGAATATACCTCTCCTAATGAAATCTTTTTTTTTCGAAACGATAGAGATATTATATAGAAGCGCACAAATGTGTAAAAGTACAACCATCAGCTGAATAGAAACAGCCAACAGCTGAATACAACCAGCCAACAACGGCATAAAATGGGAGGACATGTCAAAAGACCGCCTAGAGTCGACCCCAACAGGGTAATACTCGGGAACACACACAAAAAAAACACAAGGACACTAAAAGCTCCTAGAAAGAGAAAGAGAAAAAGAAACGACCCCAACAGGGTAATGCCCGAGTGTACGATCCCAACAGGATAATAAAGTCACACTCGGTCTAACTGAGGCCAACGGCCCAAACCTAAAACACAATAATGAACATAAGACAAATACAGACATAGACAACACAAAACAAAAACAACAGAAACTAAAATAAACACAGAGAGCCCTTCCCCAACAAACGAACAGACCTAACGAGCAGTGAAACAATCGACACAAGAAAGAATCCAAGCCCGAGATAACACTATCGAAACTGCGCGACCGCCTATACAATAGCCAAAATCGAGCCCCGAACCAATCCCCGAATCGACCCATCATCAACCGAGAGAAAAACGACCCACCCCCACACCAGTCCCGCCCAAGCCCGTCTAACACCACTAGCCGAGCTCGAGAGAACCAGATCCCCCTCCGCCTAACACCACTATCCGAACAGGGGAAGGTGAGGGAGGAACGGTCCCTCAACCCCGACGTTGCAACAAGAACCACCGCAACAAGCGGAGTCCCGCCCCGCCCGCTGACCCATATACCAACCAACACCACCGCCGCAGACTGCTGGCCAACAAGACGAAAAGCACCATCGGAGCCCTACCAGTAAAGCGAAGCCATTTGGGGGAAGTCCTTCAATCGCGGACAATAGCAGAATTTGGGGGAAACCATCTCCAATCGAAACCCGCCGGCAATCACCACCACCAATCGCTGACCAATCGCTGACTGAGAAGATCACCTCCAACAATCGTGAGCACACATGCGACCTAGTGCTAGGATAGACCATCTCGCGTAGAGCCACTGCGGCAAAATTAGAGGTATGCGACGTCAGGGGGTAGGCTGAGTGGTCGAGGACGACCACTGGCCGGAGCCCCGCCGTCACCAATAAATTATGGAATATAATTAATTCCTAATATCTAAATATAATTAAATAATGAAATATCCCACTAGAATAATATTATTGTTATCCCCATTTAGCTCCAATTTATTCAATAAATTCAAACCTCCATTTGATTAATTAATTTTAATCTAATTGATAGATTTATCTCCCTATGTTTAAGATATAATGTCCGTCGGTTAATTTAATTACTGACAATAAAATTAAATTGACTTCTTATCATTTCCGAAACTAGTACCACTTAGTTCATTAATCATTATGCCGGATAATTATTCACCTGCAGGATTTGACATAATATTCTTTCCTGGGCTCATTTCAGGGTCATCAACCCTGCGCACTTGGACATAGAGACTGTAAATAATTTATAACGGCACATCATATAAACACTATTACTTACCAAAATACCGAGTATGTCATCTTAACAGAATATGAATCACCCTTGGTAAATCAAATAAATAAGTAAAGAATATATATGCCCATTTTATATTATCTTACAGCTTAAGAGTATGGATCAATTACTGAAAGTCTAGATTATAACAGCGATCAATAAATCTTATAATCTTATCCTTCCACAGTCCGTTCAATACTTATCATAAGTAATAGTGTAATCCATCAGTCAAAAACCAACTGAATCAAGACTACACTACTGTCTTTTTCCAACAGGGGTCTCACTGCCTGTTTAGACTGTTAACAATTAATTTATATTTTACAAGTGACAGATAATATGATCTTTCTGTTCGACACGATGAACCATACTAGCTACAATGTAAAATAATGGAATTATGATTGTATAAAGAAATAATCTGCAAACATAAATACTTTGACTAAAATACGATTGTCAGATCAAAACGGAATTGTTAATATCTGAAATCCAAGCTTTTACAGCATATCCTAACACAATATCGTCAGTGTTATGAGGTTACATTGAAAACAGCCGAGGTGCAGAACAACAGGAGGAAGGATGACCCGCCTGAGCGCTTCCACCAGGAAAAGAAGCAAGAGCTGGGGATGAGCTCCCAGGATGAGTTGATGGAAGTTGATGTTGGTGTTATATACTGAAAGCTTGACTTTGGATTATATTACACATTTTCTTTGTTGAATGAGAATTATGTTTGATTAGACAAGCTCTATGTTCTGTTGTTTTGCACTTAAATAAATTGGTTCATTAGCGGGTGAACAGAAGATCATTTTATGAGTTACTTGTGAAACAAGAATTGTTGGTTCACAACCTAGATGGAAATGAACAAATCATCAGAACAATTGTAGTGTCAACTGTACGGTTGGTCTTGACTGATTAATTGCATTAGTACATTTATGTATTGAAAAGGATCCCAGAGAGTAACAGTTTGTTTTATATTGATCGTCGTAAACAAACTTCAGTGTCGGTTAATTACAGCGTTCTCTTAACCCGTAAGATATAAGCATGCATGTTCATATGGTAACTATTACTTTGACTCACTAAAAGTGAGATTCAGTTTACTGAGTCAACATACTTGTTGTTTTGGGTAATATTATTATATGTACGATCTGCTGCTAGAATATTTATGGTCACCATGTGCGACAGTTTGATGATGTCCCCGAAGTGAGTTCATGAAGGTTGTTATGCTAAACCCTGCAGGTGGATTAAGTTTCGGCATAATAATAATGCAATGAACGGTGCTAGCTTTGAAAATATAATATATTAATTATTTCTTGATTAACAATAATCGAATTAATTAATGGACATTATAATAAACATGGGGAGGTAAATCGAGTAATTATAATTGGAGTCTCAAATATAATTTGAGATAGGAAAAGGGAGTGTAATAATATTATGTTAGTGGACAGTAATAGTATTTAAGTATTGGAAGAGTGGGCTTGGCTCACAGTTAGGCCCAATGCTTAAGAAGCCCTACTTCTGTTCTCCTTAGGATCCCTACTGTAGCTCTATATATATATCATTAAGCTCATGGGATTTAGAACATAAGCTACCTAACGTGAAACACGTTTTGTCCGCCCATCTATATCTCTCTCTCTAGTTCCCATAATCGAGTTTTATCTTTGTGTTGTTGTTCTACCGATACAATACGGAGAGGTGTTAGAGATATACAGTAGAAGATCCCGATGTACCGAGATGCCGTGATCAATATATATTCATCAACCTCGGAAGCCACCACCCGACCACCGCTGACGGAAGTCCATGATCGTCGACGACAACCGCACGCCGACTGCGAGACGTGGATGCCAGCCGCACACAAGACGCAGCCTGCACGCAGCCACCCCGCGACGATCCTGCAGCCCGGTGACCCGCACGCAGCCCCTGCTTGCTCCAACCGATGCCGTCCGCCACCACGCGACACCAGCGACCCCGGCTCGACGCACGCTGCTCCTGGCCACTACTCCCATCGTCTTCTTGAGTCCGACGAGAAGCATCTGGCTACCCAACGGATTTTGAAATCAGATGATTTCCTTCAACGGTAATCTACAACGTCTTAGAGTCTGCGATTTTTAAGCTGTAAGTATTCAACTCCAAACCTCTAGATCCGTTGCGCATAGATTTATTGTTGCTATTGAATTCATGACTTGTACATAACGAGATCCTCACTGATCCCAACAAGTGGTATCAGAGAACATGGTTAATTCGTTTTGTACAAAGTTCAAATTTTTACGGCTTTATTTGACAAGATATGTTCAAACACAGCCATGTATTGGATTATATTCGCATAACTCGGTTTTGCAGGAATTAGTTTAATCCACTATTATGGTCATATGTGTGTTTGATGAATGTTGTTGAATGTGATGAATGTTTTTTAAACCCCGGACATGACGAGGAGTTTTGATGGTTTAATGTTTGTAATAATTATTTGTCCGGTGGGACACCGGATAGATTTAATTATTTCTTTAGACAAACATGTAAACCCATTCGTTAGGTCTAGGATCGAATTATATAATTTGTGAACAATATTTTCTGTATCGTGATCGTGTGTTGATGACCGGGAGATCACGAGACCGACGATGCCTCGACGACCCGATCGGCCTCGGGCCCAGGCGGCGGCCGGCAAACCACTGCACGCCTCACGCGGCTTGGCAGCTCGCTGCCGGAAGNGACGGCCCACATGCATGGCGAGACGAGGAGCTGCATGCGGGCTCCGAGCAACGTCCGCTGGTGGGGTAAGTTGCGGCTGGCTTCGCGTTGCGTTCAGTCGGCTGCATGCGACAAGCCCGACGGCGGCAGGCGCTTGGAGGGCGGCAACAAAGGGCGAGACGCCGGGATGCACGCGAGCGAAGAAGAAAAAAAAAATCTAAGCGGCCTTCCACGACGGCTACGGCGACCCCTCCGACGGCTTGATGGTTTTACTTGCTAGAAAAGCAATTAGATATCTGACAAGATTCTGCTGTAATGGGAGTTCTAGTTGAATTAGGAAAATAAGAAGATTCATATCTGATAGTTTCCTTGTTCAAGGAGACTCAATAATTAAAGCCCATAATAGTGGATTTATTT